ACCCCCCTCAACTATGATTTTTTCTTACACCTCCACCCTTATTGTGCCAAATTCAACATAATCATCTAGATTCCGTGGAATGTGCTCTAGTTTGTACTCGTTTTGTGTAAAAATACAGTTTCCGATGCACCACAAACTGATATATACAAGATAAAAATCACATATTATGATCATCTTGCTTCATAATGTAGAGTTTGAATGGGATAAAACGGGTACACAAGTGATAATATTCCATATAATCTCGAAGATTCCACTAAATTTGAGGAGTTGAGGGGGTGGTTGTAATTATCCAAACAAGAGGGGTGTTTTTGTAATTTGACCATACCTCAGGGGGGTGTTTGTAATTTACCCTAAAATATATAATATATATATATATATAAGTATATATATATCTCTATGGCCCCCAAATCTCGCCCCCCTATTTATTTTCACTTTTTTTTTTGCCACTTCTGCTCTGAAACGGCGTCGTTTCATCGTTACCAGCCAATCACGTTGCACAAATCTTTTCTTTTTCCTTTTCTTCTCGCGGATGCACGATCGACCTCTGTGCTTCTTCTTTTCCTTTTTTTTTTTTTTTTTTTTTTTTTTTTCCAAAATCTGCCCTCTGCCGCAATCGAGGACTTCTTCGCTGTAATTTTCTCTCCAGTTGTTGAACGGCGTGCATCCAGGTGTTGAACGGTGGTGCACGGGCCTACAATTGCTGACTCTGACCGCCGCCCTCCGATGCCGCCCTCAATCAGTTCCTCCGCCGCCGCCACCGCCGCTTCGTTCGACGCCACCGTACCAGCTGTCAGCGTCACTTCCCACCGCATTTTCGTCCAATTGCAGACCGCTCCCCATCACATCCGACTTCGATTACTCAGGAATTGTCGGTACCCACCCCTTTTCTCCAACCCAATCTCAGTCATGGTACTGATCCTATTTTCTTTCTCATCCTCTTCTTCTTCTCCAGTTCTCCCAATTTTTGTGTATTGATATTGATTCGATCGATTTTATTTTACAACCAACGCTTGCTCAACCAACCACAATTCTCGGTTGGAACGCTTCCACTGTTCTTTGTATTAATTTAATTTCTTCCCAGACTCGTTCGCCATTACCACTGTCCTTTGTTTATATTTGAGAGTTTTTCATGTTTTTTCTAATAATTTTTCGTACTTTGTACAGTATGTCTTCTCTTTCTTATGAGCTTCCTTTTGCTTTAGTATCATCTTCTTATTTTTTTTATTACATTGGTGGTGGCGAAATGAGGTGTTGTAGGTTTTGGCCTCAAAGTTTTTTAATGTTTCATCCAATAATGTTTCTGATTTTATACAAATTGTTTTTCTTTTTTATAAATTTTCTTTTGGTTTTACAGTTTGTACATCATCCTCAACAATTTGCTTACGAAACCTTACCCCGTTTTCCTGTACAAATTCTTTATACCCCTAGCAAAGTGTATTTGAGCTTCTTTAAATTTATTTGTGGAGAGACGATTCCTCCTATTCATTTGTTTTTACGATTATTAGGTGTTTCCTTTGGGGATTCTTCGTGTTAGGTCTTCCGTGTTCTACAACACCGTGCCTCATTCGTGTACGCCGCTGGATTGTACTGGTTATTTGATCTGCTCTTATTATGAGGCATGCGGCTGTACGTTTACGGTCGTTGCTGTCTATTTCCTTACGATGTCATACTGCTCGGACCATTGCCTACACTTATTCTACAGTATTTTCCCGCGGTTTGTTGCTACTCACTATTCACTGTACATCGCACCTCTTTATTATGTATGTCGGGCGGAATACCTATGTTTGTGCTCCAAATTATTAAATTTACTAATTCAGAAAGAGTTTGATGGTAAATTCAAATACGAAAAAATATTTTTTATTTTTTTCTTCCTTCATATTCTTCAAGCTTTCCATTATTTTTCTGTCCAGCTGTTCATGGGGCCCATTCGTCGCGTAATGCCACTGCTCGTGCACGCTATGCTTCAATGGATCCTGGAAAAAAGAGCGCGCTGCTAGCTCGAAATCGTGAGCGTAGCGCTCTCTCGCGTGCCAAAAAAATATTTCCAGTACAAGGTTCATAGTACAATATTTATTTTTATGCACTATTGGCACGTTCTTTATGTGCAGCAGTTTTCACGCTCTATTCTTAACATTGTAGGGGTGTCTTCTTTCCCGGGCCAATTCGACCGCCTCAAACATATTTATCAAGCTCCATGGTATTTACCTGCAGAGGAACCTTGTAACCACTGCGGTGCATATCGTTTTTACGGAGAGTCTGCTGGTTTCTGTTGTGGGAGTGGTCAGGTGTTCCTTCCCAAGACGGTGATTTGTCCTATTATGTGGTTCTTGTTCACTGATGCAGTATCGGAGCTAGCGATTGAGTTTAGACGCAGAGTTAGATCATACAATGGAGCCTTTGCTTTTACTTCTATTGGTATGAAGATCGATGAGAATTCATGGTGGCCGCGGGATGGTATATATGCATTAAAGGTTGTGGGGCAGGTTCACCATTCCATGAATCATGTGGATGGTTTTCCAGACTTGTCGAAAATGCTTCAACTTTTTTTCCTCGACACGGCCGATAATTTGCCTGAGACATCATTGCAGAAAAAGGATTTCCGCCGGGATATTATGACACTTATTATTGATGTTTTACAAATCCATATGCGTCGTTCTTCAAGCGTTTGCGTACATGGGAAGACCTTTCTGATGCCTATATTGTTCTTAGATCTAATTCGGTTCTAGATCAGAGAAATTATAACCTTCCTACTACCGATCAGGTCGCAGCTGTTTGGAAAGATGGGGATGAGAGTTGTGGTGGATTAGAACGTGATATACGGGTTTTTACCCAGGCTGGTTTGAGTCGTAAAATCAGTTACTATTACGGTTGCTATGATCCATTGCAATACCCATTATTGTTTACTAAGGGGGAGCCTGGATGGCATGCAGGGATTGAAAAATTGCATTTGCCCCATAAATATTGTGCAGGAGCCTGTCGGCCTGTATGTGATGGACTCAATGTTGCTGCTGCGACTGATGTAAATTCTGCTGACCATTTGCTACTCCTTGAGGATGAAGGTTAGTAGTTACTTATTTTACTCTGATGTTGTTGGTTTATTATTATATGCCCTTGTCTTACACTTACCTTATTCTTACTGTTTCCTTTTGTTTTCTAGTGCTTCAGCAGAATAAAAGAAACCGTTCAAATGTTTCGTGTAGACAATACTATTGCTATAAAGCCCAAATGCGTGACGGTGATTACTCGTGCTTACTTCATGCTGGTAGGTTAGGCCAACAATATGTGATTGATATGTATATTAAAGTGGAAACTTCACGGTTGGATTACTATAGATCGGAGCAAGTTCAAAAGGAATTACGGACTGAATCATTTCAAGGTATTGTTGATAGCCTCCACATTGATGGTCACATAGGGCCCTCTGATATTGGCCAAAGGCTCGTGCTTCCATCTTCTTTTATTGGTGGTCCAAGAGATATGCGAAAACGATATGTCAATGCTATGGCGCTTGTCCAGAAATTCGGAAAACCTGATTTGTTTATAACCATGACGTGCAATCCTGCGTGGAAAGAAATTACTGATTTATTATTGCCTGGCCAAAAAGCTGATGATCGGCCGGACTTGGTTGCTCGAGTTTTTCAAGCAAAGCTACAAGAGCTGAAGGACGATATTGTTAAAAAAAAAATATTTGGTCCAGTGGCAGCATATGTGTATGCTATTGAGCAGCAAAAACGTGGTCTTCCACATTGTCATTGGGTTATTATTTTACAAGATGGGCATCATATTACTTCTCCAGAGATGTATGATCAAATTATCTCCGCAGAACTTCCGAATGCCTCAAATCCGTTCTTGCGAGATTATGTAGTCAGGCACATGATGCATGGACCGTGTGGTGAGTCGAATCCTAAAAATGTGTGCATGCGCGATGGTCAATGCAAAAATCATTATCCAAAGGATTTTTCTGCTGAAACAGTAAACGGTCCAAATGGTTATGCTCTATACAGGAGAAGAGATGACGGCGAAAGAGTTCTTGTTAGAAAGGTGCTTCTTGATAATAGAAATGTGGTGCCTTACTGCCCCTACCTTTTAGCAAAGTTTGATTGCCATATTAATGTGGAAATATGTGCTGACATCAAATTGGTTAAATACTTGTATAAGTATATTCACAAAGGACATGATAAAATTGCATATAATGTTGTCCCAGATGCATCGTTCGATGTTCGAGATGAAATACAGGCGTATCAGAACGGCCGTTGGATATGTGCTCCTGAGGCCTATTGGAGGATATATGGTTTCTTGATGGGTGAAATGTCACCTCCGGTTGTAGTAATGCCTGTGCATTTACCAAATCATCAGCCTTTGCGTTTTGGCGTGCATCAATCATTACAACAGGTTTTGCGTAATCCTTTCTCGTGCAAAACTATGCTTACTGAATTTTTTAACGCCAACAGATGTGAGGAATCGGCTATCCGTCTCAGGCTTCTCTACAAAGAGTTTCCTGAATATTTTGTGTGGGAGGCAGGGAAGCGAAAATGGAAGATTCGTCAAAAACAACATGTGGTTGGTCGCCTTTGTACGGTTAACCCGTTGGAAGGTGAGCGATATTTTGAGCGTTTGCTCCTGCTTAATGTGCGATGCCCTACTTCTTTTGAAGACTTATTAACTTTCAATGGTCACACATATTTTACATTTCGTGAGGCTGCTACTGCAAGAGGTCTTCTACAATCTGATGAATATATAGATACCTGCTTGGCCGAGGCCTGTTTGTTCCAGACTCCTTCCTCTTTGCGTTTACTGTTTGCGTTACTTCTTGTTTATGGTGTTACTGGTGATGTTCAAATTTTATGGGATAAATATTTCTCTTCGTTGTCTGGAGATTTTGCTCATGGTGGACTACTGACAACTGCTCAGGTTATTAGGAAGACTGTCTCTGATATTGATTTCGTGTTGAACTCTATGAATAGATCTATTACTGATTTTCCAATCCGTTTTTCTTGTGAATGTCCACTTGCTGACGATCGATTAAGTATGGACTATAAATACGAATGCTCCATAGGTGTTTCCGCAGAGGATATGATCTCTATTGGATGCCTGAATACCGATCAGCAAAGCGCATTTTCCCAGATCATCGCCCAGCTTGATATTGGAGGGCATGGTGTATTCTTTATCGATGGTCCCGGTGGTACTGGCAAGACATTTTTGTACCGTTCATTACTTGCATATGTTCGCTCGAAAGGCGGTATTGCTCTCGCCGTTGCAAGTTCAGGTGTAGCTGCAGCATTGTTGCCTGGTGGGCGAACAGCTCACTCAAGATTCAAATTGCCGTTTGATGTTGATGATGTTGATATTGGAAAGGTTAGTAAGCAAAGCAGCCTAGCCAGAATGATACGGGAGGCTGAACTTATTATATGGGATGAGGCGCCAATGGCCAACCGTCATTCTGTTGAGGCATTTGAGTTATTGCTGTCTGATTTGTGCGATAGTTCGTTGCCTTTTGGTGGGAAGATAGTTTTATTTGGTGGCGATTTTAGGCAAACATTGCCAATAGTTGTAGGTGGTTCAAGAGATTCGATGATTGCTGCAAGTATGGTGAGTTCTACATTGTGGCAGGATATAATTTGTCTACGACTATCTGAGAATATGCGTGCTAAAGAGGATCCTATTTTCTCAGAATTTTTGCTTCGAATTGGTAATGGAGTTGAGCCTTTTTTGTTCGACGACAATATCAAACTTCCGTCCAATATGTTAGTCCCGTTCGTTGATGAGGCTACCTCTTTGGACTGTCTTATTAATGATGTTTACCCTAATCTCGATACGTTTGTTCAAAATCCTCTTTCCTTTATAAATAGAGGTCTCCTTACTACAAAAAATGATTGTGTTGACGAACTTAATGATCTATTAATAGAACGATTCCCTGGTCAGATGAAGGAATATGTGAGCTTTAACAGAACGAACGATCCACTGCAGCAAGGAGAATATGAAGACTTCCTCAGTACTATTTCACCAAGTGGGCTTCCTCCAAACATGTTGCGGCTAAAGGAGAATTGTCCGATTATGCTGTTAAGAAACTTAAATCCAGTACAGGGCCTTTGCAATGGTACACGTTTGATTTGTCGAGAGTTGGGGGAAAACTTTATTCGTGCTGAAATTGCAGTTGGTGATTTTAAAGGTGTTACTGTTTTCATTCCTCGTATACCTTTAGAAACACCAAGTCAGCTAAAATGTCCAATTTCATTCAAGAGAATGCAGATACCAGTCCGTCTCTGTTTTGCAATGACAATAAACAAATCTCAGGGACAAACTTTAGATTTTGTGGGAATTTACCTTAAGGAACCTGTATTCTCTCATGGGCAGTTGTATGTCGCGTTGTCAAGGGCAAAGTCTGCTGCTGCTGTTAGGGTTCTTATCCATCCAGGTTCAAGATGCAAGCGTGTAGTCGATTATACAAGAAATATTGTTTTCCATGAGATTTTTAGATTACTTAATGGTGTTGACAACACAACGTCTTAACTTTTTTTGGGCATTCCAATTTTTTTTGATGGGCTATATATATCAGTGTAAATAGGCAATTTGGTGTTTGAATCTCGTTTCTAGACATCAGGTTTAGAACAATAACAACAAAGAAACTGTGTCGTGTACAAATTTCAGAGGACCGACGCTCTGACCTTTCTGACATGCCTTCAGCCTCTTTTTGGCGTTTGTTGCTTGGTTTTGTTTTTTGGGAGTTTGCAGCTGCTAAGAATATCTTTGTCTGTGCATTGGGGACATAAAATATGGTGAGAAAGACAAACTTTTTCACGACTCCATTTTCTTCTATATGATAAACGGCACAAACTTTTTTGTTTACTTTTCTTACTGAATATTGTTCAATAAAGCACCTGCTTGTTTTTTTTTTTTTTTTTTTTTAATTTACAGGTAATATATATATTTTGTCGGCTACGGACAACCTCCCTTACCATTCAGTCCATGCTCTGATGTGTCTTTCCTCTACCATATATATGTTCTTTTTTTGCGGAAATGATACCAAAGGCCATGTCTTTAATAACACTTTCCTTACAGGTATATGCTTCCATATTCAGAACTTCAATTCGCCTTATAATTTACAGAGCTTTTTTGCATTTGCCATAACTTTTTATCTGCTTTGTGCCCTCTCACATGACGGCCGCCATAAATTATTTCATTATGTCTTCTTTACGAAAAATTTCAATATAATGCAGCTGCCTGTTGTCGGTTGACCACATGTTCTGTTACCACACTTTTTGCTTTTGAAAAAATGATGACGCTCTACGGGATGCCTTAAATAGGTGTGACCTTCCACAGAAGTACGCATTGCTCGTGTTTTTTGAAAATTGTACTCCTCATAAGAAGATCTTGGCACTCTGCTTTTACTATTATACTCTTAGGAAAAAGTGAACTGAATTTTTTATTCGTTCATGTTGGCACAGGTATTTTTCTGCTCTATAATGTACCGCTGTATGTATACAAATTTTCTTGTATGCAACAATTTGTCTCATTATTTTGTAATATTTTTATTTTCTAACTGAAGTAATATGCATTTTTTTTTCTCTGTTGCAGTTGTAAATATTTTGCCTTCCACATTCCTAGGCTTATGAAAGTGACTATTATTGATTACGAACTGTTTTCTTTGGGTTACTAAAAAGATGTGGGAAAGGGGCAGGTTCTTTATAATTCCTTTTCCATTCTGCCTAATATTGTTTTTGATATATTTCTTATTTACGTTTTTTGCCCATTCCAACCTGATATTTGAGTTTTGAAGAATGCTGATCTACTGTCAATTACTAAGATAGGAGAACTTTGCCCCCCCCTTTTTTTTTTTTTTTTTTTATTTCGTGTACAGTTAATAATATATATAGAAGTTCCTTAATTTCATATGCTACCGTTTTCTTTTAAGCATGAATTCAGACACTTTCTTTTAGATAATTTATTACTGTTTAACAACTATTCATTTAGTAAAAGTTGTAGTATGAAAATTGTAAGACAAAAAATTAATTACTTACTGTATTCCTTGTGTTAGATAAATAAAAGGATAAAAACTGCAAATTTTCTTCACTTATAAACTCCAATTATAAACGCAAGCCTGCTTTATGGTCAAACTTTAGTATCAAATCACTACAGCTAAGGTCATCTAATTTATGTTGTGTTTGAAAAAGACTTTCGCGTTTTTATTTAATGATATGTATTTGTTTTGTATTTCTTCTAATAGCATTTCATGACTTGGTTATTTATTATAGCTTCTAACTATAATTATTATGGACCAAAATTAAAAATGATATATAATATAGGGATCAAAATTGTGATTATTCCAAGTTCATTATAAATAATGTTATAAATTAAAGTTTTCTTAAAGCTTACATTGTAAAATTTGATCGATTTGTTGATATTTAAGATTTATTTTAACATTTGAATTAAATTAAGTATGAATGAGTTGAATCGTAAATCATAAAATTTTAAACTCGGTATTGCAAATTTTCGTAAATGAGTCACATGCGATTACGGCTGAAGAGCAGTCGAAGCATGCGGCGTTGGTGCTGGATATTTTGAATATTGCAAGAGAGATCCACTTTGTGGTCAAATTTGCAATTTCAGTGAAGCGGCAGGGAATATGGAGTAAGTATAGGAGTAATTCAACAATTTTCATAACTGTTTCAACCAGGGAGTAGATTTACAGAAATTACACATTAACCCCCACTTGGGGGCATTTCCGGTTTAAGTACCAAAATTAAAAACGGTATACAATATAAGGAACAAAACTGTAATTATCCCGAGTTTATTCAAAATACTATAATAAATTAATATTTTCTTAAATCGTAAATCATAAAATTTGATCGATTCGTTGATATTTAAGATTTATATTAACATTTGAATCGACTTAGGTATGAATGAATTCAATCTTAAGATTTGAATCGTAAATCATTAGATTTTAAGCTCGGTATTGCGAATTTGCGAAAAATGGGTCACACGCGATTACAACTGAGGAGGAGTCGAAGCATGCTGTCTTGGTGTGATTCGGATATTGCAAGAAAAATCCACTTTGGGCTCAAATTTTCAATTTAGGTGGAGTGGCTAGGAAGATGGAGTAAGTATTGGGGTGATTATGCAATTTTCAAAATCATTTCAGAAAGGGAGATGGATTTTCAGAAATTATAAATTAACCCCCACTTTGGGGCATTTCCGGTTAAAAATGGTATACAATATAAGGACCAAAACTATAAGTATCACAAGTTTATTATAAATAATATAATAAATTAAAGTTTTCTAAAATCGTAAATCGTCAAATTTGATCGATTTGTTGATATTTAGGATTTATTTTAACATTTGAATTGATTGATGTATGAATGACTTGAATTGCTAGATTTAATCTTAAATCATAAGATTTTAAGCTCGGTGTTGCAATTTTTCGTAAATGAGTGACACGCAATACAGCTGAGAAGGAGTCCAAGCATGCTGCGTTGGTGGCGGCTATTTTGGATATTGCAAGAGAGATCCACTTTGGGGTCAAATTTGTAATTTAGGTTGAGCGGCTACGAAGATGGAGTAAGTACAGGGGTGGTCCTGCAATTTTCATAACCGTTTCAGCAAGGTAGGTGGATTTCCAGAAATTACAAATTAACCCCCACTTAGGGGCATTTCCGGTTTAAGAACCAAAATTAAAAATGGTATACAATATAGGGACCGAAACTGTAATTATCAAGTTTATTATAAATAATATAATAAATTCAAGTTTTCTTATATCATAAATCGTAAAATTCGATCGATTTGTTGATATGCAGTCTTCTAATATTGATCAAGATATGGGGGCAACTTTGACGTAGTGTATTCATAAACCACTTCAAACTCACGCCAGCATAAATAAAACACATTTTTCAAATACATACACGGGCCACCGGCACCGCGCATTGCGCGGTGCTCCTCACCTAGTATATATATATATATATATATATATATATATATGTGTGTGTGTGTGTGTGTCGATCGCCCCCAAATTCCGCATTCTAATTTCTTTCCTCTTTTTTTTCTTTTGGCCCGTTTATTCTCGAAACGACATTGTGCCGCTCCCACCCTTCAATCAGCCGCCTTCTTTCTTTTATTTTCGCTTTAATTTCCCACTTTAACTCATCCTGCTTGACATGCTTCGTATTTCATTTCTTTTCGCTTTAATTTTCACCTTCAAATCCCAAAAATGGTGCCGCCTCTTCCCCTTCCCCTACAATTGTTGACATCGCCCTAATCCTTTTGATGCGTGGACTTGGTTGGCGGCGGTTCCGATACAATTGTACTGCGGCACTCTCTCTGTCCATTCACGACTCAATTTGAGTTTTTGTTGCTTATCAACCTTTATAGCAACTCATGCATATTCAACCTGCTCCAATTATTCTCTAAAACACTCAAAAATTGACAAACATTGAGTGATCGAGAGACAGAGAGAGAGCGAGATGCCATAGCTACGGATTTTAGATCAAACTACCAATGATTCCTCACCCCAAACGCCTTCTACCAAAACTCTAGCCACCGCCAACCATCCAAGGTTTCGCGCTCGCAATGAAAAAAATTATAGTAACAAATCTGACAATGAAAAATTGAATGAAGTTACCATAAAAATATAAATCTCGACGAGAGGAATGCAAAGATGGGTAGCTCGTCAAATTACGACTGTCGGAATACAAATTACCCCTCTAACAAGACCCCATCGGCGTCAAATACGCGCCAACTGTAAAATGATTGCAGAGACATATGCATAGATTCAAACTGTATGAAAATACCACTATAAGAAAGATCTTGACGAGGGGAATCCAATGGTAACTATACCATCGGATTCCGACCACTGGAGAGAGTTATGACACCGGGAAGCAGCATCGCCTGATGGAAATCTATGGGGGCAAAAAATTGGATATTAATGACTGTGGGTTTATTTGCAAAATGACTGTAATGCCCTTACAATATAATATTTTATTCTTGAACTTCTTCTCTACCAACAATAATAGTCTTCTATTAGTAAGTGATATAGCTTTGAGCTGAGCATCGGCAACTAAGTCCACATCTTCTATTGAAACTCTTACGCCTGCTACTCTTAGTCTTGGCTGCAATACATATTACAATCAATACAAACGTAAACTCACTTAATGCTATTTGTGAAAGGGAAAACCATGTATGCGGCTGATAGTTTATATGTACCTGAGCTTCGAGTTTGTTGGGTACTATTTAAAAGGCTACGAGATCAGGACCAAAATCTGCAAGAACCTTAACCCTTCTTCGGTGAATTTTTTTCAAGAACTCCAAATCCATTGCATCTCCGTAATCACCGTTGCATGTTATCAAGAAGTCATATGTGTTGGGTGCTAAATACCAACACGCAAGTGCACGTATCGCAAACAAGTAGTAAAAGTAGACTCGTGAGAGTCGGATGTCGATCCCACAGGGAATACTCAAATTATCTAATCCTAAGTACCAAATTCTAACAATTATGATTTTTATCTAGCCTACGCAAAGTTGTCAAATAAAATCAATTAAACAATTAAACTAATTATGAAAGAAATTAAACACGAGAAAATATCAATAAAAACGGACCTAGGATTTTATCTTCCCCCTATGCAAGAACTGCTCACCCAAAACCCCTCAATTATGAAATATATGATTCATGATTATTAACCCGAGACACTAATTTACTCATAACCCGCTGTCGCGTTTATTATGAGTCTATTATTCATAAACGGTTCACTATATGTCTATGCAAACAAATTATGAATAAAGCATTAACTAACAAGTCTCGTAAATGGCTACCTAAGGTGATATCTGTATGTCTACGACACCACATGCAATTGACACACTCATCCGGTGAAAACTACTCGAAGGTTCTTATACTTACCGTCTAATTATCAAAATAGCTCTGTCGAGTCAATCCCAATAATCACAGATAAAGCACATAAATTGATCAAGTTCATGCACTAACAATCATAACAAGTATAAGAAATAATCATAAAATCATAATTGCATAATTTCAAGAAAACGGGTTCACCATCCCCACATAGGGTTCCAACAAAATCCTAGATTAAAAAACTTAGCTACTCATGTTCTCTACGAAAAACATAATAAAAATATAAAAAGACATAGATTAAGAAAAGATAGATAAAAGAAGAATTGTGATGAAGATTTGTCAATTCTCCGTCTTCGATTCTTCGTTCTCTCGCTCCTCTCGCTCCAAGATTGTGTCAAAATTCCTCTAATTCGTGCTTGGTTTGGGCTTAAATAGATGTCCCAACTTGGTAGATGATTTTAGGTTTCCTTGTGTGATTATAAGTCCAAAATTGTCTCCAGCGTGTTTTGGCACGGCCGCGCGAAAATCAGTGCAATTCTCACACGGCCGCGCGAGAATTGCCGAAACCTTCTGCCCCAGTTCTGCTGTTGGCACGACCGTCCCATTTTTAGGTGTAAATTTGGGATGGCCGTCCCGTGCTAATTTCGTCAGATTTTTGATTATTTCACTTTTGGCCCATATTTTCTCCAAAACTGCAGTTCTGACCCCATACTTTTCCAATTCTTCAATTTGTACCTAAAATACAATAAATCAACTTTTTAAGCATCAATTATCATTAAATCACACCAAAAGCTCAAATAAAAAGATACGATAAAGTGTAAAAATATACACTTAACAATATGCATAAACCACAAGTGTGAAATATACTTTAACTCAAAGTCAACAATAAGTAAATCTTCTTCAATACCATTTTTTTTATTTCAAAACCAATGAAATAAGGATTACATGCAAAAACTGTACTTGATTATTTTGTTGAAACCCTTACGCCTGCAATTCTTCGTCTTGGCTGCAATCTGCGAAAAACAATGGATAGCGGAGAAATTGAATCGGTTAAGGTCGAAATTTGTGAATTAGCTAACGATTCTTTGCGATTTGGTAGGTGATGAAAACAAAATCCTCACCTGGAAAAACCTGGAAATCTTCTCTTGGCTGCAAAAGGGGAAATATGGTGAAATCAAGTATTTATATGTAATAAATTTGTAATAATTATATGATATGAGGGTATTTTTGACATTTCAGTTGGTGTAAGTGGGTGGAAGTAAGGATGGGATAAGTTGTCAAGCCAATTTTGGCTTGACAACTAATAATTCAAATGGCTGATAAAACTGATGGGCCCATTTGTCAAGGTTTGGGAAAACACCCAAACCAAATATTGTACTACCAAGTACAATTGATCCCATCATGGCTTAAAAGCCGAACCAAAAGAGTCCTAGGAGTATATATCAAATTGCCCCTTGTTTAAATTGTCGGTAATATTTCCTTTCTTTTTTAGTCATTGATTTATGGTCAAATATCATTATTTTACTTTAGTCCGTAAACCTAAAATCTGATAAATAAGTTGTCTTATAATTTCAATCATTTATCTTTATAATTTATCTTATTATAATCCCCTTCTAGTCCTCCTCGAATGTAAATTTCATTAACTGTTAACAAAACTTTTTGTTATTAAATGGGATATTTAATTCTTATAGTTACTTTCAATAAATTATATATAAATTAGTAAATACTAGAAGAAAAAAAACATATATACTTTAATGAATGCTTTATAAATAAATTTAAAGGGAAAATGAGTGATACGCACACGCCTATCGTTGCAAAATGAATTGTCCTATAGATATGATAAGTTATTGTCGAGATTGAAGTATCTTCACCGGTCTTTTTCGTTGTGTTTCTTTTGAAATAAACATCACACCTTTGAAACTAAATCATTTGCTAATCACAAAGCCAAAAAGCTAATTTAATAAATTTACGGATCTTTGTTAAAAGAGAACAAGGCCTAATGTCACTAATAATCCCTCATCTTAGTATTTAATTTCACTTTAGTCCCTCATGTCCTATTATTTTATTATCATCCTTCACTTCTACAACATATCTCAATATAGTCATTCGGTGTATACTTAGTTAATTTTAACGGAATCTTTCATTTATTGGATGAAATATTCTATTCTTATAATTATTTATGAAAAACTCAATATATAAACAAATTAACATATACCAGAAAACATATGTCATTGAAATAGTTCTTTACATATTAACATAAGATCATAACATTATAAATAAATTTTTCATAGATAATATATGTAGATGACGTAATAATTAATTAAATACGTTTCTAAATTCAAGCCATATATCCGCAAAATGAATGATTTGTTTTCTATTAATATAAATTAATATTTCGTAAAAATAGTAGATTTTTAAGCTATTTTTATAAGTTATATTTTTATTGGTTGCAAATATTATGTTTAAATTAAAAACATTATTATTTATTGAAAAATCACAATTTATCAAAATAATTCTAACAACAGGATATTTCATTTGTTCTTAATAAGATTCCGTTAAATTTAAAAGGTTTATACACCGAGCAATGATAATGAGATGGGTTATAGAGATGAAGGATGGAAATTAGACAACTGAGATATGAGGGACTAAAATAGGACTAAATATCAAAATGAGGGACCATTAATTAGATTTTGGTCAAAAAACAATGATGAGGCCAAAAATACGTTGGAAATATTTTAAATACACAAAGAATCAAGTTTAATAACAGTGGAAGCAATGGAAGTTGTTACTTTCGTTCGTAATTACGTTGAGATAGATGTTGAATAATCCTGTTGCAAGAGTCCTTAATGTGACTAGATCCAATCCGATTCCCAAATGGAGATGCCCTGAGCCGGATGTGATTAAGCTGAATTTTGATGCATCAGTTAACGTTGCGCTGGGAAGTGTGGGTATCGGAATAATGGCGAGGTCTCATACGGGAGAATGCGTAGGTTGGTCGTCACATTTCGTGTTGCAAAGTCTTGACCCAACGTCGGCGGAAGCTAAAGCTGCATATTATGCGATGATCTTTGCACGAGAGAAAGGTTGGCGAAAAATTATTGTTGAAGGTGACTCAAGTACTGTAATATCATCGATTAATGGCGCCACAGAAGATCGATCAATGCATGGGACCATCATTGCAGATATTCTTGTTGCTAAGGGCTGGTTTGATGGGTTCTCTACTAGGCATATTAATAGAAAAGGAAATCAAGTTGCTCATGAAGTAGCTCGACTTTCACTTAAGGGTCCAAATCTTTTGCCGAATCTTCCTTTGGTGATTCAAAATATTGTAAACTTTGAAGCTGAAGATTAATATAGTCCAAAGTTTTCTCTCAAAAAAAAAAAAAGAGTAAAAAATAAGTAAAAATGGAAAAAAAAATGTTACATAAACCAAAAATGGATTCAATAGGTAAAAAAACATAATATCATTTTCTTCGAAAATACGATATATTTATGGAATCAATTTTTTTTTTTTTTTATGAAGGTTTAAATATATAGATAAAACATAATTGGGGTGGAAAAAAAAAAATGTGCAAACATATATACATAGATGTGTGCAGCTGAAAATGTTGTTCTGGGTGCATAAAATGGGTATTGATTTAGCGAAATGGTTGAGGCAAGATTGTTCTCGGTGCAAGTCGAGTAGTCTCCATCGTTAAGAAGAATTGCCCTCTTCACTGCTGACGGTGGATTCACAAACAACTCCCAAGATACAACATTTAACTTGAAATATAATTAAACATTCAAAATTTTATAAGACAAAATAAAACACATTCTACAAAGAATATCTCGGAATGGAAAAAAGAGGGAATTTTATTTGTTATTTCGAGTTGCCTCTAATTGTTTAGTGAGACATGTGGACATGTACTTATATCCAGTCGTTGTAGAGACAACCGTACGTCATTGAACAAATGAAAAGATATTCTACGTACACCTTTTTCATATTGATCAAATCCTATTCACTTGAATAAATCATGTCTAAAAACCTTTCCAGTTAAAGTATTTAATTACGTACTTTAAATTTATATTCAGATTAATTTTTTTTAAATTTATTAGATTTTCCTAAAAGAAAATACCTCAGATCTAGATCCATGATCATTGCCCAAGAGGCAAGATCTCATATTGAACATCTTCCTCGATCATAGAAATATTAGTTTAGTTCATTTCCCATGCAAATATACAAACAAGTTTGAACTCGCAGAAATCAAAATTCAAATTATGAAGAAATTAATAAAGATGTACAAAATACAAACATATAATACACTATAATTAAATCTCCTCTACTCAACTTTGAACTAATTTAATGTACAAAATATTCATTTTCCTATAGCTCTGGATATATAAACAGTGGTAAGTACAATATATATCGACGACATCTCTATGCACAAGACATATTCATACACACACACACACATATATACATACACGCATATATATATATACACACACAATCACACTATCATATCAAGCCAGATAAACCATAATCATAAACACAGACCTCTTGCTGATGAATATTCATCCCATAATTATACGTGTCACAATTGTACGAATTAACTGAGTCCACCGTCCCAATTAAGAGCGACTCTAAATCCATATAATACTGTAACGAAAAATCGTCAATCTTTTCGCTATCCAATATCGAGTTCTCCACCACACAGTTGAAAGAATTATCTACTGCAGGCACCCTTAGATGATGATCATCAGGTGAGCCCTCACCCTCTAACGCTGCACCGAAGCACGGTGAATCGAACGACAAATCTAACAATCCGTAATTTTCTTGATCATGAATATGATCAACCGGCGATGGAGAAGCGGTTATAGAAACAGAAGAGGGTGGGGAAGTGACCACCGGAGAATAATTAATCGCGTTGTTTCCGGTGAGTTCTTGTACGAGTTTCTTGAAATTTGAGGATTCGGTTATGTAAACTTTGGGCCGTAGGATCTTGATCAAACTGTGGATTTGTTGTTGCTTATTAGGTATATTTTTCATGGAAGGTTTGATGGATTTCTTGCCCATGATTTTGTTTTTTTAAGATCCAAGAAAAAAAGGGTTCTTGGAAATGGTACTGTTTGGCCTTGGAAATAACTTTTACAGCTTTGCTTCTAACGGAGGATACTATGAGAGGTATTATATATTAATGTGAATATATATATAATAAAGGTTTGAGATTGTTAAATATATATATATATATATATTATTACAAGTTCATTATTATAAGTAGGGTTATTACAACCTTAGCGCAAGTCATTAGACAGAAACGAAAGATGCCGAAAATGATGTTTATTCGTTAAAAGATGTGTGAAATTGGAGTTTCAATTAAGTATGAAAGTCCAACTAATTAATTAAAACTATAGCTACCTTTTTTCAATTGCACTGTGGAATTTATGTGAAGTATATCAAAGATATTCTAAGATTTGTTGGTATATGGATGTCGTTACAAGGTTCTTATTAGGGTTATTAAGTACAATAGAATTAATTAATTAATTGTGAAGTGATGATGATCAAATTTAATTCATGAAGTTGAGGTGGGAAATGGTCATATAGTTAATTAAATAATTTTGAGATCATGTAATTAGGTAGATCAACATTTAAGGCACGCTGATAAACTATTCACTCGCTTGTCTTGTTCCTTTCATTTACTCTTCTTACATCAAAACAAAGAAAAACACACACACACACGCAATTCATGTGTAGTGTTTTTGTGTGTGTGAAGAAGGGACAGAGAATACATTTCTTTTTTAAATGGATCAGATAGTTACATTAGAGCCTAAATTGGTTGTTACAATCAAGAACTCTTCTCCATTTTTTCACCTTTTTGGTTGTTATTATTTCCATGGTTGTTAATCTCTTACCGTTTACGGTTCGATTCAACAATCCGTTTCAAGTTTTCAACTTTCGATCTTTTACGATTCAAAACTTGTCTTAAACATAAATTTTAGCATCTTATTTCGTCAAAAAACAAATAAATAGGATTTTTCAATCATTAATTAAAAAAGAATACAAAATTGAATTGAACTATAATCTTAATAAAAGGCTTCATTTCAGCAACTTGATCTCATTTCAACTAACCAACAGCAGCGTTTGTAGCTTTTTAAGGATCTTCTGTAAATATATATATGATTTTAGGGTATCGCTCCAACCTTAATAAAATAAAATTAGGGAGAAAGATCGATTTAGCAGAGTACAATTACTCACAGTTTGTTACGATTTGTAAATTTAACAAAGCGGTTCTAGATTTTAGTTTTCAATTTAACAACCATGATTATATTTCTAAATAACATATATTTAATATTTATGTAAATTTGAAATTAGTAGCATAGTTAGGGATGCCTTTAATTTGGATGGATGGACTAAAACCATTGTTCCATCATTCCAGGAAAAAATATCTTCGAAGTGGAACGTTGCGACATTCCGATTTATCGATTTGCGGCATTTTGATAACTGTCGAAGCGGATATGAAATAAAGAAAAGAAAATTCATAATTTCTAAAATTTTATACGAAAAATTATGAATTCAAATTTTCAAGTGACAAATAAATATATATTTATTTGACAAATATACTATTATATATGTTTGTAGCTATTTTAATAAATTATTTTTAAATAACTTCAAATTATTCGTTAGAGTTGTAATTTATCATCACCAAGTTGCAATGCCACGAAAACCGTGGTCTAATCATGACTCTAACTGAAGCTGCTTAACGAGTTAATAATGAAGAAAAGATAGAGGGGAAATTTGCTTAGACACCCCTTATTTTGGAATTGTATAGGTAGAGATCCTAGTAGCTAGATGCAAATTATGGAAAAAAAAAATTCAGTTTGTTGTTTGCATTTGACGAAATCATATGTATTTTGTTGTTTGCAATTCAATAATATAAAATCTAATTTTCCGTTTGCTATTTGCAGTTCACGGAGTCATAGGTGTTGCAGTTCCCGGAGTCATAGACGGTGGTGGGGCGGCGGTGGCCTTTTTAGAATATGAGTTTGTAAAATAAAGTGTATATTTTTTTTATGAATTAATTTATTTTTTAGATAATATTTGGAAGAGAGATGTTTGAGAATTTATTTTGATAGAGAGATTTTTGGGAATTTGATTTGATTTAACTAAGGCTATTTTTGCCAAAATAAATATTATGAATTTATTAAAACATGAAAATTTTAACTTAAATCTACACACATAAATTATAATATAGAGGGACCTATAGCAAATTACCCCATAAATAAAACACTAAATGATCATGAAAATAAACAACAGGAAGAGTAATTTTTTTTCTACCTAACAAAGACAAAATTTAATTAGCTAAGTCAATTTTATTAGGATTGCATATAAATATCACTATCAGTAGACACATAAATTAATTGAACATGAAAATATTAAGACATTACAGATATACGAATCTTGAATTTTGGCTGTTGGCTGTCTTTTATCTATTATTATTTTATAATTTCACTATCACATTATTCCACATTATATTATTAGGTGCTTAATTATTTGAAACTTAATGTATTAGAAAAACTTTTGCAATTTCTTTACATATATATGTGGAGTGTAAACTACACTTACCTGCCATGATGTTAGGGTCTAATTATATTTAGAGCCTCGGGAGTTTGAGATATTAGACTAACCTCCCATGAGTTATATTTAATTATACTTTGATCCCCACGAGTTTGAGGTTTGGCGTTTCATTTGTCATTCGACTTTTTGTTGTTGCTTATAAGTGTTTGAAACCTCCTTTTATACGCTAGCTTTAGGGTTTCTTCACTTGAAACATGGCCCGGTGGACTTGACCACTTGTAATTTCATGTGGGCTAGATTTTATAAACTCAAATAGCTAACCCAAATGAATAAGAATTTAGTATTTATTTTGTATTAACCCACATAACGCATTTGCGAAACCCAAATTTAGTGTGGACTTCGATATAAAGCCCAAATTTATTATGGACTTTGATTTGAGATCCAAATTAATAATTAATTTATTCGGCTATTAACTTTTAATTTAATCTCAAAATTTTGATGTAAGTCCATATTTGTTATGGACTTTTATTCAAGGTCAAAATTAATAACCAATTTATTTAGGATGTTAATATGTAAAACAAAAAATTCCATTATTTTTTGGAATTTCTTCCTATTTCATTCAACTCAAGACTATAGTGTGATATTACGCACTTGAAACTTAACACCACATTACTTATGCAGTTTAATGAGAAATACGTGCATAAAAAAAAAGAAAGAAAAACCAGTCGGATCCTTCGGAAAATAGTCTAGAGTATCGACAATAACCCTATGCATATACGAGCCCATTTTTATGTGAA